TCCCCGGCACTGCTCACCTCCTCGCCACCTCCGAGGAGCTCCGATTCAGCCCCGGTCGCGGACCGGACCAGATCCACCTCGCCTTCACCGACAATGATGACGAAATGAGGGTGATGTTTGTGACGGAGGACGGATCGGAGAGGTTCGTGAGGTATGGAGAGACGAAGGAGCAGCTCGATCAGGTGGCGGCGGCACGTGTGGGGAGGTACGAGAGGGAGCACTTGTGCGATTCCCCTGCGAATGATTCCATTGGTTGGAGGGATCCTGGTTTCATTCATGATGCAGTTATGAAGAATTTGCCCAAAGGAGCTAGGGTTTATTATCAGGTAATTTCTTCCTATAATCCGAATTCATCTGTTGTCTTCAATTTCCTTGGAATTGGTATTGCAATTACTTCTGGATTTTACTCTGCTCTGCAACCCATGAGAAATTATGATAGTTTTATGTATAAGAATTGTTGTTGGTTGAAAAATTGAAGGCCTGATGAATTCAAATAAGTAATGAGATTGATGGTGCTGAATTTGTTTTTTGAGTTAAAACTCTTTGGCTATCTAGATGAGGAACTACAATGCAATGATGTATTGTGTTTACAGGTTGGAAGTGACTCTAAAGGTTGGAGTGATACTAAAAGCTTTGTGTCGCGTAACGAGGACTCGGATGAAACGCTTGCGTTTCTTTTTGGTGACATGGGAGCTGCAACGCCGTACACGACGTTTGTGCGAACTCAGGACGAAAGCATATCTACTGTTAGGTGGATACTCCGTGACATCGAAGCTCTTGGCGACAAACCTGCATTTGTGTCTCACATAGGAGATATCAGCTATGCAAGGGGTCACGCTTGGTTGTGGGATGTTTTCTTCAATCAGATTGAACCTGTGGCATCTAAGGTTGCATACCATGTATGTATCGGTAATCACGAATATGACTGGCCCCTTCAACCGTGGAAACCCGATTGGGCGAGCGGGATATATGGGAAAGACGGGGGAGGGGAATGTGGGGTGCCATATAGTCTAAGGTTTAACATGCCTGGGAACTCTTCTGAACGGACTGGAACCAACAGCCTGCCTACTCGAAATCTTTTCTACTCATTTAACATGGGATCAGTGCATTTTGTATACATATCAACTGAAACCAATTTCCTAAAAGGAAGTAAGCAATATGAATTCTTAAAGCGTGATTTGGAGTCCGTTGATCGGAAGAAGACACCTTTTGTTATAGTGCAAGGGCACAGACCGATGTACACGACGAGCAACGAGCTTAGAGATGCTCCATTGAGGGAGAAACTGCTGCAGCATCTGGAACCATTGTTAGTAGAAAACAAGGTGACGATGGCATTATGGGGCCATGTCCACAGATATGAGAGATTTTGCCCTCTTAAAAACTACACTTGTGGAAGTATGGGGGAAAGCTTTGAGGCATTTCCCGTCCATCTCGTCATTGGGATGGCTGGACAAGACTGGCAGCCCATCTGGGAGCCGAGACTGAACCACCCAGATGTCCCGGTCTTCCCACAACCAACGCGGTCAATGTACCGTGGGGGCGAGTTCGGGTACACCAGATTGGTTGCTACAAAAGAGAAGCTTACGCTCTCTTATGTTGGAAACCACGACGGGGAGATACACGACTCTGTGGAGATTTTGGCATCGGGACAGGTTCTGAATGGCATTGAAAATGCGAGGGCGAGAAACGAGACGGTAGAATCATCGGTGTCGTGGTATGTGATGGGAGGAAGTATTTTGGTTCTTGGGGTGTTCATTGGATACATTGTTGGATTCGTTTCACATGCGAGGAAGAATTCAATGTCAAGAAATAGCTGGAGTCCTGTGAAGACTGAAGAATTGCAATGAATCAAGAGAAAGGGGAAGGGGAGTTGGTTTTGTTTGTATAGATATTGAAATTTTGTGATATAGTACTGAGCAAAAAACCAGTTTGTGAAGTGTGGAATATTGGTTTCTTTTCTTTTGTATCATAACATAATTAATTAACGCAATATTTCGTCCAATACAACAACTGCAACCAATTCATTCTGAATCATGTTAATAATGAAGAAATTGTCAAAGCGTCTGATAAATAAAAATTTGATTGGTCTTGATCACCGTTAAAACCTAAATATTTTCCTTTAAAATTTGTGCTTACAAACATTATTCTCACCTACTTGTTCATTTGTTTTGTTATATAGTTTTTATAAAGGTTAAAAACTACGGTTGGTGCTTGTACCTTTGATAAAGTGATGATTTAGTCCCTCAATTTTAGTTTGTAACGATTTGATCTCTCTATTTTAAATTGATAATAATTTAGTCCTAAAATTTATAATGATTTAGTAAAAGTTTTTGTTAAGATTCTTATATATGTCGATCAATAAACCAATTACGAACCAAATATGTTTATAAATTACAAAGACTAAATCGTTATACAATAAAAATCGACACTTCATTTTGATGAGATTTTTTACTATAGGGACTAGATTGTTATGAATTTTAAATTACTGGGACTAAATTGTTACGTACTAGAGTCTTGAGACTAAATTATTATCAATTTAAAATACATAAATTAAATCGTTACAAACTAAAGTTGAGAGACTAAATTGTTATTTTATAAAAAAATATAAAGACCAAACGTGGTTCTTAATATCTTACAAACATTTTTAAAATCTAGAAAAAAATTAAACTTATAAATGAAATGTAAACAAATAAATATGAAAAAAAAAACTAAAAATAAAATGGTTATCAAACATGTATTTACCCTAGTGAAAGCTACCTTATTTGAGTTTAACAAGCGGTGATAATATAGGCCTCGTTTGGTAACGTTCCCGTTTCCTGTAGTAGATTTTTTTTATTTCATTTTTAGAAACGGACATGTTTGGTAACCAATCCGTTTCTCGTTTCTAAATTTTGAGAAACGTTTCCAAAAAATGGACCAATTTTTGGGAACTATGAAAAATAGTTTCGTTTTTGCCGTTTCTGTTTCTTTATTTTATGTCCAGGCGCTATCTAAGGTATTAATAATATATTTGTCACAGTTTTATACAAAATTTTCAGTGGCCTGGTGGTACATGTGACCTAATTTGAATAAGAGGTTCAGGATCAAATTCCATTCGATGCAAAATATTTTTTTTTCTTTTTTTATATATTTTTTTAATCTAAAATGTTTTCAAAATTTATTTTAATTTAAAACTATTGTATTTTCTTTAAAAAAAATTCTAATTTTTAAATTAAAAATATTTTTAAATTTTATTCTTTATTTAAACTAATAATTTATACTTTTATAATATTTTTTATATATTTTTTTTAATCTAAAATGTTTTCAAAATTTATTTTAATTTAAAACTATTGTATTTTCTTTAAAAAAAATTCTAATTTTTAAATTAAAAATATTTTTAAATTTTATTCTTTATTTAAACTAATAATTTATACTTTTATAACAGTTTATATTGTAAATTATATTTTTTTAATAATCTATAAATTTGTTTTTTTATTTTTATTTTATATTTTTTAACTTAAAATATTTTGATAATTTACTTTTTTTAAGCTATTATATTTTATTAAACAAAAAAATTTATATTTTTTAAATTAAAAATATTTTGAAACTTTATTCTCTATTTAAGTTAATAATGGATACGTTTTATCCAATAAATTTATATTCTCAATTATATTTTCTTTAATAAATATTATTCTTTAAGTCTATGTTATATCTTTTTATATTATATTTACTAAGTTTTATTTAACTAAAAATAAAATTAGCTGCCAAAGCGAACATAGCTCAGTGGTAATTGGCATATACTTCTATAAGGTTGTGAGTTTGAATCTCCTCCCCAACATATTGTACTAAAAATAAAAATTAGCTAACTTGAGTAAGGTAAAAAAAAAATAGAAACCTCCTCCGACCATCTGCCTTCCTCTTCGGCCGGTTCCTTTTTTCTTTGTCGCAAAAGCATTTCATCTTCGGTCGCCTTCAAAAAGAGATTTCCGTCGGTTCTTATTCTCCGGACGTTTCTGCCTACCTTCGTCTCACCTGACATTTGTCTGCCTTCATCTACGATTGCATCCATTTTTCGCAGTCGCCAAAGCAGGTCATCTCCATATTGAAAGGTTTGCATTCCAACGGATTTTTTAATTTCTGATTTGGTGTGAAATATTGTATATGTGAGGGTATATAGTATAGTGATTTGATTATGATATATCTTATAACTCAACTTGTATATATGCGGATATGCGGATATATACTATACTGATTTTGAATGTATATATGCGGATATATAAGTGGATATATACTGTAATTTTGAATATATTTTTTGAATATGCGGATATATGTTTATTGAGACTTTAAAAGATGTTTATGTGATTTTGAATTGTCTTTCAAGATTGAGCACCAATGTGGGAGTGAATTAAGGAAAAATCAATCTTTTTGAAGGAATAAATTAAGGTTTTGAAGGAGTGAATTAAGGGATTTGTGTTGAAAATTAGTATGAGGTCACAATAATTAAAATATTATGATAATAATTTATGGAATTCAATCTTTTATATTAAAAAAAACAAATAAATATAATAAATGTACATGCAATAAATAAGGATAAAATCGGAATTAAAATAAAATCCTACGTGCAGAAATCTAAAAGTATAAAATTATAAAAATTTAGACATTTGTGTAAATAAATTTATAAAACAGCCCTAAGAAAATTAAATAATAATTTAAAATAATATCTCATTCATTTAAATCTTTCTATAAGAAAATTAAAATTAACACATAAAATCCAATCAATCAACAAAATCCACTATTCAATTTATAAAATTCACTTCTATGGGTATGTCTTAAATGTCTTAATAGGTTAATAAAATAATAATTTATTGACATATGAATTTTTTTTTAACAAATTTTAATATTTATTTTATAGATGATTTAGTTGAGATTTTTAATATAGGAGTAAAACAACACTTTTAAAAGATTAAAGACTAGATTAAGAAAAGCTTAAAAGATTTATACAAATATCTAGACATCTCAAGATGCTGGATTATCCTAAAATGTCTATGGATGACCTTTCAAGATTCTCATGTCAAATTGAAATTGAAATTGAAATTAATAATTAATATTAAATATTTTATAAAAATATGAAAATAATATAAATTGATGTGTTGTACAAAATAATATTTAAGTTTCTATTTATGATTTTTTTTTAATCCTAAAAAAAATGTATGGTGAATTGCAGCAAGAGAAACAAGTCAAAATTGACATCATACCCTCCAATTTATACATATATTGATTGATATATCCAAGTATGGGAGCTGTTGGCTAAAGGCTACCGATGGAGGATTATGATTGCCCTGCGGCAAATATGGGATTTCAAAAACCATTTCAAAGGAAAGCTTCGAACTCGTTTGATGACGTTCATATTTCTTGTTTCCGTTTCTTCATCTTTAATAAAGAAAAATGAATTGCATCACACTAACATTCATAAATTCAAATATGATATAACAACATTTTTTTATTTATGTTTTAGAAGAACAAATTGAAAATGGGAAAAAAAAGAAAGAAGAAACTTATTTGAGTTGTTTTCAAATTTTCTATACAATTTTGATAATGTTCCCAAAAAAGAGAGAAACAAGAAACATATTTAGTAACAAAATGCTTAAATTTCTCAAGAAAATTGAAAATGAGAAACAAAAAACGGAAACGTTATCAAACGGACCCTCCATTGTCATACTGCTCCAAAACATGCATAAACCTAAAGAAAGAGCTTTCTTTGAATGCCTAATGTTATTTCCTTTTGTCCTAAAGAAAGAGCATTACTTTTGGAGTTGCACTGAAATTTTTGCAATCATTGTGTTGTGTCTTCATAGGAGGAACATTGTAATGAAAGCTACTTGATCTGCTTCATTTGCACCACATTTTAAGAGTACAAGTTGCAAAATAATTCATTAGCTTTAAGAGTAAAACCATTGATGCATTCCAATACTTGTAAACATGTTTCATCCCTTTTAAGTTTCTCCAAGGCATTTTGCCTAGAAAGTGCCAGAATACTTAACCAATATCCCCATAGTTCAATCGGTTAGATCATTACTTGCCTCTCTAAAAGTCGAAGATGGAAAAATAAATCTTTTTCCATCAAATAAATTTATTACTCCACCTGAACAAACAATTGTAGATAATATAATATAATATTCACAGAGATATCTACAGTAAGCAGCGAAGAAGACTAGATGGCATCTTGGTGCGAAGTGGGGTCGTTTCCTCTCCTTGAAAAAGGAAAAACGGAACCACTGGTTGACTCAGAATTCTCCAACACCATGTATACGCACAACATGCATAAACCTGTTAATCCAAAGCTCTTATGCATCAATCACGCACAGATTGCTTCCATAAATATGCTAAAACAATCTAATTTCTCCCTAATCTGAACAGAAATAAGCCTCGGCCTACTCCCATTTGAAAAGTTTAAAAAAAGATGGGGAAGTTGCAAACAAATATATATAGGTTTCATCACATTTCTATTTCTTGTTTCCTATTTCTTATTTTGAAAGAAACATAAGCATACATGAAACAAGAAATATAAACGTTACTAAATAAGCCTATAACTACTGAGCGACAAATCAGATGGTGGAGTTAATTACTCTGCTACGATCCATATTCGCATGACAGGTCAAATATGAAGAGCGGAGAAAATTGTCCTATCAAATGGTCATGCATATTTCTTTTCTTGTAGGACAGCAGAGATAGGGGAAACATACCAGTGTAGGCAACTGTAACACCTGAAACCAATCTTCCCAGCACAGAGAGAGCATAAAGGCAAACAACGACCTAGAGAAAGATTTCAATAACTTTAGTTTACAACATCCATCACAATATGAGAAAATGAGTACAGCTATTCCTTTTAAGAAGATGGATTAACTACAGAAGCAATTAATATGTACTGATTAAACCTCACAGTTTATCAATGACAATGGATACAAGTTATATGATATCTAAATTTTATTATTTGATCTAACTGCTAAACAGACAAGAACCTCAGGTATGCAATTTGTATGAATAATATTCTTATTTAATTAATGTGATATGATACGGCATTATGGACCCCATTGGATTATAAGAGGTTTAAAATTCATAGGTAATAAAAAATGTCCATATAAAATTGTCTAGATTCATTAGATGTAATAGTAATGGTATAGGAGCCTACTGTCATAGTCGTACATTTCTCAACCGCGCAGCACCATGATCTAAGCTCGACCATGGCCAGCCTTACGGGAAACTTTAGCCCCAATCCACTTTTCGCGCCCTTTGTGGCTTTGTCGGACCTTAGACGAGATTCTTTCTTCCTCGACTGAGCTTCAATTCGCTTTTTCAACCATTGTAGTTCTTGGCCACTCGGCCGTCCCGCTCCTACGATGAGCCAGGACCTTACCCGGATGAGTTCTGACCTATAATGGGGTCAGAATGAGCTTAAAACGCCAACCGTGTACAACCGGGATATTCCTACCACTTAACTATGTCAAAACTAGCTTATCGGGCCCATCGGACGCCTCTAAGACCATTCCTGCCGAGAAACTAGTCAATAACGGGCTAAACGGCCTTACCGGATACTGCTGGGATGATTCCTACCGAGATCCGAACAAGGAATGACCAAACTTGGCAACCGGGATGAGTCTTGCCGCTTACCGGGCAAAGACTAGCTTTTTCTCACTTACCACATGCCCACAGGTACTGTAGGATGCCACCCCGAGCATCGAGATGTCATCGGACTTCACTGCTCACTTGGACACGCTTATCAAGAACCGACCCATAGACTTGTATTTATGATCGGGACCTTTCGGACATCCATCCATC